AACAAACGACTTCCGACACAGTGAATCGCCTCTTCGGGTTGATCAGAACTTGAAAATCTACAGCACTACATCACTATCACTATACCTTGGTGGAAAAGCAACAAGAATTAAGCCTAATCCATATTAAGCGAGACTGGTAATATAAATGCAGTACAAAAAAAGGATGTACGGATAAATTCATACATTAAATGGAACTATAAAACAAAACGTAATAGAATTCAGAATAAAATAGCATACACTTGGCTTACAGAGATAGCGCACATCTGTAAGATGCTTCAAAGTATTGATAATATGCAACGTAATGTGAACTATATAATTCCAGAGCTAACTAGAACATACTCTTATAGTCACGAATAGACTAAAAGCAAAGGCAGACAACGCAACTAATGTGCCAAATATATTATATTAAAGTTGAGACTTCTCAGTTAAGTATGTATTAAATAATCACCTTTTTACAAACACTACGATCCCGCCGCTAGTACACAACCTCGATCACTAGATGGGCTTTCTGGCCTTGACAATTAAGCAGACCAAATTCAAATTTACCACAATAATAAACATCATCTTTTAAAAAGGCCTAATATGCATATTTGGCAGAATTAGGATTTAGTCAAATAGTACATGCTACTCGCAAAAGTACTTCATCAAGACTGAAACTTACAGACAACCTATCACTATTAGTTTGAACAATCGTCAAAACAAGGTAGAAAGACATTTAACAATTAGATGTAAACGCCATAGATGCTAACAATAAATGATCAGTCCTTAGCACGTATCAGTGGGAGTTAAACCATGGTTTCCGTAATAAGTAAATGTCATGCTAAAGCAAGACATATACTAAACCATGTAAAACCAAAATATCCAGCATCGGACGTAGTAGTATTATTGATTAGGAAAACATCTTCAAGTCCAAAAAGATGCCAGATTGATGAGAAAACACCAACATATAAGCTCAGGAATGAAATGATTGGGATCAAAGAAGTACGAGATATAGTGACGTTTACCTGTAATATTTGTTAGGGTTAGTATTGAGTTCGGATTAAGTTTAAGAGAAAAGTTCGGTTTGGAGTTATGTCTAGAATTAGAACTGATGGTTACGAGTTATCGTATGTAAACTAACCATAGATTTTAATGGTTAAGAACGTATAGCTAACCCATAAGAGTTTATTAATGATGTAAAAAGAATGGATATTGCATCTGTGAATTTGTATCATAATTTACTCATACAGTTTGCTCTCCGACAGACTAAAAACAGGTCAAAATCCAAGGACCATTGGGCAGTATTGTTTAGTGTTGGTGTAGATTTTTAACTCTATGTTTGTCACTGCCAACCACTTCCGGCTGGAGAACAAAGTAACACAAGACAGTTTTTAAGTCTTAATCTGTAAGTTTTCAACACCGCATTCAACATAAAATACCATAACAAACTAATTGATCGATGGCGCCCAAAAATAGCTATGAACCGAAACGAAAGTGTAAGAAATATATGTCAGAATATTTGATTTAATGAATGATCATCTTGTTAGCGTGAAACTTGTGACATTCCAAATAGAAAAAACCTCAACCACAAACACTGAAATCAATTTAAAAAAATGGAAGTCAGCGAACAGAATACAATCACGAATCAACATGAACTAAAGATGAACAATAATAGAGAGAAATAAGTATTGAATCAATTAATAAGCAGAATATTTTGTGTAAATATACACTGATATTTTGATGCACAAAATACTGAATAAACAAAAACGAAAGAGGGGAAAATTCCAAAAGATATGATAATCATAATAAATATGTATATACATAGTTCACGAATCAACGATTACATCACGTTTTCAACAATTATGGAAGAACTGAAATACATCAACACATATAACTGAACAATATAAATTATTATGATAATTTTATTGATATTAACACAGTCAACAACTTAAGTAGTCAACGTGCTAAATTTCGAACAAAATTCAGTACAACAAAAAATTATCTTATTGAAATCAAGTAGCGCAAATGTTTACCAAAATAAATTAGTAGTATAACACAATGCTACCGATTTAATGAATCACAAAAAAAGAAAAATACTTGACTGGAAATTACGATTTCAAAGATAATCAAACTTATTGATAAACAGATGTTCGATTATGTGATAAACGTTGAAGTCAAACAAAGGAAATAAAAAAACAAAGATCAACTTGGCATTCTGGAACGAATACAAAGTGATACAAGTAAGAAAGAAATTATGAATGGTTCAAATTTTCTATTGATTAGGTTGACTACCTGATTTCAATCGACATACAGGGAAGTGAGCATAGGTGAACTGAACGATGAAAACTTTACAGTATAACACAGCATTTGTTTGTTTTCTTCGCCTAAATTGGCAAAGAAAAAGAGGATAGTGACGGAAACACAGTATACACTTTATATTAATTTTATGAACACTACTTCTATATATATATATATATATATATATATATAATGAGAGGTGATTACTTTAAATGAAATAATAACCATGAAAATTAAAAACATATCTTAAATACGTACTTTGTCATTTATTTTCCAAGCGTATTCACATCTCACAATCGACTTTTAAAATTATCGAGGCAACAATACTAACGAACATAATTCCTACGAGAGTAGATCACTCACATCTTATGGAAACTGAATTATTAAGAGTTATCGCATGGAATAATAGACGAAATAACAACTTTACAGATGAATGATGATAAAGTTTCATACACAGAAATAATTGGTTAACAACTAAATACATAAAGTTAAATAAGTAAAGAGGTTTCGTCTTCATAAATTTTTGAAAAACGCCAATAACAACACAAATCAATCAACAGAAAACTTACTGTAGTATAAAACATTTTTGATTGTAAACTAAGACCTTCGGACCGTTCAACTAAATCATCAAGTTTTTCACCTCTAGACAATAATGATTCTAATGTACTATGCTAAAAAATAATAGTAAAAAGAAGAGATAATTCAGTGTAATTTGTTTTGTTTCTTTTGCAAAAGAAAACAAAAACAAACACTGGCGAAAAGGTTTACCGGTTGAAATAAAATCATTTTATATTCAATAATACGAAATTTCTTGTTCGTCCTTGCTTTGAATGTGAATTTAGTTGAGTGATGAAATTAATTGAATTTATGCAAGATTTCATTGAGGTCCATATCATTTTCAGAAATGATGATTTCCTTTTGAAAAGACGACCAGATGGGTGTTTAAAAAGATCAATAATTGTAATTAACATGTATGGATACTATGAAAAATTGATGATATAGACTGACTGTTTAATTAATGAAACTATTTCATCACATTTAGACACACAAATAATTCACCATCAAGGTTACATTAATTTGTAGTATGGAATTTAATACATACAACCTATTTTACTAATGACGACACCACATAGTTTGTCAGAAAGTAAACTCAGACGCTACACACAGAATTCCCGTAGGTAAATTATTTTAACCGATAAACTTAATAAACTTTCGGTCAATAGTTCAATTTATACATTTAATGGTCTTTTTAATGAAATCTTACTCCAACGTCACATTACTGAAATGATTTAGTATTATTGTTGGCTTAATTTACTTTAATAAAACTGGTGGTTTTATTGAAAGCACATAATTTATATAGGTTTGCACACGATTGATAGATCAGTTACACAACATAAAGGGGTAGAAACACTATGTGCTTATAGAGAGAAAAAAAAAGATGAGAATATACGGCGGGAGGGTAGTATCTATGTACAATCAACAATATCGAGAACTCCTAGTTCATATACTTATCATATAATGAATTATAAAAGTGAACACACATTATTTCAGTAGCTGTGATGAACTATACGGCAATTAATTAACAGAGTATCACTGACTTATTAACGTCAAAAATAAAATAGGGATTGACAATATTGGATAGTCCACTAGTAAAGCGTATATCAAAATTGTTAGCGACTGAACTCACCTTGCAAAAAAAACATGATGATACAAACCGATATCACCTAACATGGAGACTGAACATAATGCACGACTTTATAGACACATATCATTCAGTTTCGGAACTCACAGGATAACATATATGAGTTATTATGATAGATTACTATGACGAATTATGAGTAAGATTAACTGCCTTAATGAATTTGACTAAAAGTAATCGTTAAGATCCTTACTTAGGTAGTAAGAAATTCCCAAATAAAGTTCAAGAAATCTTTTTTCAGATTTATCATTATTATTTTACTTAAACACATAAACATTTATATAAAGGGACACCAAAATATAGGCACACTACACAAATTATTGAATTTGTAAGTGGGCTGGGATACTGCTCAGGTGTCCAAACCAAAACATGTGGTTTCCCTAAGGGGCCACTCCCCGAGCCTTAGACCAAGAAGTCTAATTCACAAAGTAGTGGGGCAGCGTTAGAAAGAGCAGTCCCAAGATAGTCGGTGAATAAAAGTAAGTCCATACATCATTCTCTCCCCCAGGATTATGGAGCCCACGTGCACCAATGTTTTAGAATCAGGGTTTCCCAACTCCCCTAGGTGAATAGTCCGTACGCACCAACCCGGTTAAAGCTCTCGACATTCACCTTCCGTCCTTGCAAATTCGTAGACAACACTTCCGTCACGAAAAGGCAGTGATTATGTATACGTGACTATATGAGAGCATTTCAAGAGGGACAGCGGATTCTCCTGACCCGTGACCATACCAAGGCATTCAAACTAATCTTGATTACCTGATTTTCTAAAACACTGGGTTAAATAATTATAAAGGGCCTAGTTGAAAACATAATGATGGCAAAGTTAATAAAAGTAAACATTTTACGGCTGAAAAACAGTTCTTCTAGTTCGAAGTATTTCAAAGGAGAAGAGGTGTTAACTGGAACATTATTACGCCTTGGTTCCTTCACTAATGTGAAGCTAGAAGTTGACATTGATAGTGTTGAAGATACGTTTCAGACTTTAAGAAGATCCATAGGATGCTGATAACTATATTATTAATAAAGCAATATGATTGATCGGTAAGTACTCATGAGGGCGAACTACTCACCAGCAATTGTTTCTTAGTAAAGCGACACAATACACAAAAAATACGGTTAAAATATGTTGAATTGTAAGATACAGGTTTCTTAAATTCCTTAAACACTAATGAAATCTAAGACGTGCTTATCATGTGTAACTTCTGACAGATATACAATCAACTCCACAAAATGATGTAGGATCCCATAGTGGAAACACACAAGTAATATGTTTCTATTCCTCCTACGAGACTGAAATCTTGTTAGTGACATGCAGGCTGAGACATTCTTTACTTACGTAAATAGATCTGCAACAATGTTTACACTCAAGTTGCATTTATTTGGTAGCCATAGCAAATGCCAGTGATTTCCATGAGTTTGTTTTATGCGTAGTTTATGAGGACTGGTTAGATAAATATGCTGTACACATGGCTGAAAAACCACAAATGGCAAAACAAAACCTAAAGTCATAGAATTTACTGGAAATTCTGATAGAGGCGCTTTGACTAAACATAGATTGTTAGACACTTCAATACTCATCATCAACTTTTTTCTACGCTTATTTGCTAGTATTGAACAATCGTATAAGCTTAATTTCCGCTTTTCAGGCATTTTTTAAAAATTTCAATGAGAAATTTATGAAGACAGTACGAATGATGCTCAAATAATCAGTAATTGGGAAAATATTCTGATCATAGTTGTATCAACTGAAATGATGATTTCCACTAGACAAATTTTAACAACCGACCTTTATATCTGTTATCACTGTTGTAGAGAGAGCTGTATAATAAATTTGAAATCCCAATCGTGCGTGTATATTGTTTTCCTTTATCAATTACTCGCATTATTGAATTTAAGTGTATAATGTGTCAATTGAGTCAACTACTGCTTTGGTGAGTGGATAGTAACACTAGGCCTTAGACAAATAGTGTGGCCCAAAACCCAGCTTGTAAACACATGCTTTAAATATTCTGAGTCTGTATTTTAACACTACTGGCAGACTTCTAAAATTTTATCGAGAATAAGTCATAGTTTATTTATATTTATTAATATTTAGATAAATATTTATCCCGATTGCTAAGAAATAAACAGGAACAGAGAGGACCAGTATGAATAAATAATAAGACTGATTAGATCATACGATAAAGCAGCATACAAATAAAAACGCTCGCAAAACAAGAATGTCAATTAATTCGTTCAATACTCTGTGAACAACAACAGCAACACTACTTAAAAGTATGAAAGTGACGAATCATATTTCATTTTCTTACACAAATGTCAAAAGTAAACAGAGAGATTGAAAATTGCAGACATATAAACTATATCAGAATAAATCAATGTGTTAATTGCGCGTAATCATGTTTCATAACTTGAGATCAAATTTTAGCATATCAATAAGAGCTGAATGTTAATTCATTGTTAATACTATGGTAATGCTAGTGAATCCAGTGAAGTTCATTGAATATGAACATTAAACTTGTGTTTATCATACAATATGTCAGGATAAGATTTAGATTTAACTCAATTAACAATTATTCTCATTCCTAAAAACGATGAGACATTAACCTAACCGACAAAAACCGATTGGGTGTTAAGTAAAACGTCTAGACAAATTATATTTTAAATATACCACTTGGTAAAGCCTATGTGAATAGAAAACGGCAAAAGTCAACCAACCATTTGTTTTATGGCTACGGCTTTCAGCTTGACAAGATAATGTTTCTAAGATGGTGAATGCTGCTGGTAAATAATTGTGTATTGCCTGAACACAAAAGAAAAATAATATGCTGACAACCATCACCTATTACTTTCCCGAGAGAATTGTCATTGCTACCTATGTCACTTGAAATGAAATACAAAGTAAAAAAGAACGACAAACTAAAAAGGAATCAGAATGGAACTCACTAAAATAACTTTAGTTTCATCTAATTCATTCTGAAGTCGCATTAAACCATCTGCTTCGGTAGGATTCTGATATTTCTGTAAATATTCATGGATCTTTTTACATGGATCAGATCTGTTTTTATTTTTAAAAATTAGAGAGGGAAACAAAAAGAAACATGCAAAAAAGTATCTCTTCCTTTTCTAAGAGGGGAGTAGATAAGATAACAATATGGAACTAGGGTGGTGTTATGGTTTCATTGGTCATTTGAAAAATTTCAAAACACCTATAAATTGAATGACTCATTCCCAATATAATCGCGGAATCATATATAATGTTTTAAAGGCTTTATCAGTGTTTAGGTTCAAATAGAAAGTAAAACAGACCACAAGCTAACCGTACAATTCATTAGTTTTTAGTTTATGAGTATGATTAACTGGGTTGTTGGTTTATACTTGACGGCAACTTTAAATGTCACTAGCACTGCATAGTATGTAATCTTTGTCACTGAAGGAATGATGAAAGTAGTTCATGTTATAGGAAATATACAAAGAATATGTACTTTTTAGCTGAAAACATCAACATTTTCTGCTAGATATTCCATAACTTCCAAAGTAATGAATACACTATGAAAGGCGTTACAATCAAAGAGCCGTATTGTACAACCTGATACGTAAGTACATAAGTTCATATTCCCGTACTCCATTAGTAAGGAGATGAAATTGTCAGGGAAGAGGTCTACTAGATATAATCGAATACTGAAAGCTCTCTTGGCTCAATCATTCAGCAAAAGAAAGCAACTAGTAATACTTACAATACTATGATAATATCTACTTTATTGATAGGTTATCGTATCTCTTTAAATTCATATAGCTAAAAGCTAACAGACAAAACTAGCTACTTACTATCATGTCTAAATGATAAGGTCAAATTACCGGAATTAGCCAGCCAAACACTAATTAACAATGTCTATATGTTCATTTGTATCCAGTCACAGATTACGAACTAAAGATTATTTTTTATCAATTTCGCGTCTTAGTGTAGGCTAACAAAGAATGCAAAAGTACTGTTCTGTCTAGTCTACATCAGGGAATGTAACGAACTATTACAAACCAAGTATATAGACATTTCATATATCAAACCCACATTGCCTTTGCATAACTTTAGATATTTCATTACCTCTTCCGAAATCTTGAGCACAGTGTACTTCAAGTCATAATGAAAACAAATGTTTGTTGGATTTCAAATCCTTACACCAATAAGTTCACTTATGCTTTTTAAAAACATTTTCTTGTTTGTTATTTTATCACTAATTACATTTTACACTACCCACTCAATTTTTAAATTCCTATCTTTCATTGCGTTTATTGTGAACTCTAGTCATATTACATTACTTATAAGTTATACTGTAAGTCACGATATTCGATATTAAATTTACAATCGTTACTATTTCTACGCACATTAAGATAATACAAAGAGAATAAATGGGAACTTGATGTCTACAAAAAGCACTTGTTCGCATGGCTAACTTACCCGACAGTCATATTTGCCCAAGTGGATGCAGGACATTGGAGTGCGAAATCTTCAGTGGCCTAGAACAGAATTTAATGAGATAACAAAACAGTTCTATGAATTTATTTAACCACAGGTATATTTATTTTACTGAAACTAACACGTGAACATATCAAACTACGTTTGACTAGGAATATCAATGGGGTAAATGTTACCAAGTCTCATATTAAAGAAATCAAGTAGTACATTTAGTTAGAATTAAGAAAACTGCTGAACAAAGCGTTCAGACTAATATTAGAATAAGTAGGACTGCTCAATACTCAGCCATAAACTACAGTAACTACGTTGTTTCTAAGAATGCTTCCTAACATTCACTTTCCTCAGTGTATATTTACACGGTCGTAGGGAATTTCATGGTGTCGGCACAATAATCCAGTTGATCTGTGCTAAACACTATGATGGAAAATCAAACAAGAAAATGAACAGCAATCTGAACTAGCACAAAAATGTAGTGATAAAATGTCATTCTTCGTTTGACTACTTTATTGTATTTTGTGTTTTAGTTTAGATGTCAACAATATATGATAGTTCTGAATTCAGACTGAAGTGAAATAAAAAAACTAGTGCGAATGTTGTACTGAAAACAAAGTCTTGAAAGTGATTCATTGATAACAAGAAAGTGGTAAATTATGCAGCTCACTTTGGTTAATAACGTCTGAGCAACCCTTGGAGGATATTCTTGGTCACAAATTAGTACACCACATAGATTATCATGACGAACATAAACATGGCAAATATAATCTACCCAAAGGTAAGCTAAATATTATACATGAAATAAACCTTGTTGTTTAATTTGTACACGCTGGCAACGAGCTGTTCGTTCACAGACCACTTTAGCAGTAAAGTCCATAAATTCTCGAACACTGGATCGCTGAAAATAACCGAAGTCCGATAGTTCATGTGAAGCTTGTAATAATTTAGCTGATGTGTCAGTTTTATAAAGTATCTGTAATGAGAATAGCTTCATTGTCGTCTAAAGATTCCTCTGGACAGAAAACACTATAGAGGAAATGGGCATTAAAAAAAATAATAAAAAGTAATAATAGTACATTGAATTTGATACGTGGATGAAAGACTAACATTTCAGAGAAAAAAAGGGTTATAATAGATATAAACAAAACGTTATTTAAAGGAATGGATCGGGATTTATAGAAACAACAAATATCATAGATTAGAAACTAATTGCGCATTAAAACTTGGCGAATCAAGGTGGATTGTGGTGGCTGGGATAGGCAATACGTGGGACAAACCTTAGTCTACATTAACGTGTGCAATTGATTAGTGCATGAGTAAGTTGGAAACAAGTTGGCGGCGGTCAAACTGAGAAGAGGGTTAAGGTCACAAAGTCGCTGACTATATGCAAAAGTCATCTTGATATATAATTTTTAGTTGGCATTTACTTGAAAACCAAGAATAATGATTAAAGAAATTGAAAAACGGTTCGGAACCCGTCAGAAATGATGCTTACTGAAGATCATTTCTGAAATAATTGCTTAGATTTCTTTTGAAAGATGAGTTATTAATCAATGCAGTTGGTGTACATTGTCGAACAAAGCGAAATGACTTTTATCCACTAGTATTTAGTCAATTGCAGTTTACAACACAATGATACCATAGAGAACACAATTCACACAGTTCACAAATTTTCCAGGATGCTAACAACAAACCCAGAAGGAATGCTTTTCATAAGCTCAACTGAAAAGTCGGTAATAAACTTCCCAACAATCTGATCACTGATAATGTATAGAAACTATGCATGTACGTAGTTGTAATGTATATCAATTACAAATAGTTACAAGATTTCTTAAAAAAGGTGAATAAGGCAAATATTGCCGATAAGCCCTACAAAAAAAGGCCAGCGAGTTATTTTACGCTATAAAAATTTGTTAGTTAACATGCTGTGAATAGCACGAAATATACTGAATCTGACCTTCACAGATCGACAAAGCAAACGCAAAAACTGAAAAGCGAGCTTATTTTCCCGTGTCAATATTGAATAAAAGATCGAGGTTATGAGTATGTCAAACACGCTAAAAATGCATATGTAATTGTTTAAGGGGTCATCCATAATCGCTTTCAGTAATATGTGGAGTAGTGGACTGGTCAAATAGGTCATTCACTTCTCAGCATATTCAAATGGTTCAAATGGTCGTGGACGGAGTAGAAGAAGCTTTCGCTTAACAGGCTTCCGTGTTTAGTAGCAGGGGATCACCAAATCTCCATGCAGTAACCTAGGTATGTTAACAGTAAAAGTTGAAAAGAAATTAGTAAATCATAGTGTGATACTATCCTTAGTCCTTAAGTATAGATCAAGTTGCCTCTTAAAGAACTCCTGGGAAGTTGCTTAGACTAGCTCTCTCGGCAGCGAATTCCAGCATTTGACAACTCTTAAGGAGTAGAAGTTATGTCTACAGTCCGTTCTGCTATGTTGTGTCTCCAGTTTTTGGGTGTTACTCCTTAGTTTAGTGTTGGAACTAAGCTTAAGTAGGTGTTTAAGGGGATGTCCAGAAGTGTTGAGAATACTATAAGCCATCAGGTCACCTCTAAGTCGCCTATACTCTAATAGGTAAAGGTTAAGTGAATGGAGGCGCTCTTCGTAAGGTTTGGATTTGAGTTTTCGAACTGATTTCGTGGCTCGCCGTTGGATACGCTCCAGGGTGTCCTTATCTTTTTGGAGTGAGGGGGGGAGTACTATGTTTCTGTACTCTAAATGGGGACGGATGAAACTATTGAAGATTGTGTGGAAAGTTCTTCCGTCGAACTGGCCAAAAATGCGCTTCAAAGTTACCAGTTCAAGGTTTGCTCGGAAGGCATTTTTGTCATAGCTAGCGTAAGACTTTATATCGTAGGGCACCAGGACTCCTAAATCTTTTTCGACTTGGGATACTACTAGAGAGGAGTTACCTAAGTTATAACTGTAGTCTGCGACATGTCGCAGATGGACTACTTTACACTTTGAAGTGTTAAAGGTAAGTCCGTTGTCATCTGCCCAACTTTGAAGTCGAGTCAGATCCTCCTGAAGTGCCTGTATATCGTCTTGGTTGCGCATCTCTCTCCAAAGTTTCACGTCGTCGGCGAAAAGTAATAAGTCTGACGTTGCCTGTTGAGGAAGATCATTTATGTAGATCAAGAAGAGAAGCGGCCCTAGTACTGAGCTCTGGGGGACCCCACTAGGACATTCCATAGCCTGAGATAAAGTGAAATTAACCCTGACCTTAAAATGTCGATTTTTCAGGTATGAAGTGAGCCAATCGATTAGAGATGGTCTGTTACCCAATCGTTTTAGCTTATTGATAAGACATGTATGGTTAACCTTATCAAAAGCTTTTGAGAAATCTAGGTAGGTGATATCAACCTTCTCCTTGTAATCAAGGATACTTGTCCATCTGTCCACCACAGTCAGCAGGTTGGTAATACAAGACTAACCGTTCCTGAAACCATACTGTTGGGGTGAGAAGAAAGTTAAGGTTAGTAAATAGTCATTTATACCATCTCATATCAAGGACTCCATGATTTTTGAGGGTATGGAGAGAAGAGCCACCGGTCGGTAACTTGAAGGTTCGCTGCGTCGACCTCCTTTGAAAATTGGTGTGATGTGAGCCAACTTCCAATTTTCCGGTAAGTTTCCTCGACTTAGCGAGTGTGAGAACATCACGCTAAGCGGCGTTGCCAAGATTGGGGCTGCTTCCCTCAGTATGGCGGGATGGACCATGTCCGGGCCAGGAGAAGTGTCTAATCTTAAGTGCTGCAGTTTCCGGAACACCAAGTCAGCGCTTAGGTTCGCTTCAGAAAGTTCTGTGGAATTGCGAACGAAACTGTCATCAGTAAAGTTAATGTCGGTTGGTTGAAATGTCTGAGAGTAATGTTCAGCCAGAAGGTTAGCGGCGTCGCCATCGTTGTTGGTCGGGCCGTTAAGACCTACCAGTTGGGAAACTCCAGTCTTGGCTTGACGAAGAGAGGCTGCATAACGGAATGGGCTTCTAGGGTTAGAGGCGAATTTGTCCATAAGCTTTGTTTGGTACTGAAGCCTGTCTTCTCTTATAGCCTTCGTGCATATGTTCCTGATATTTTTATATTGCCTCTACGCTCCGTCATTGTCAGTTCGTTTGTATTCCGCCCAACAGTGCCTTTTGCGGCTTAGCAGGCGAAGGGTACGGTCCTTTATTATTGAAGGTGGCTTGCAGCTTTTGGAAACCGTTTGAGGAACTGAATGGTTTGTAGCACGTAAGAGAGTGTGCAGTAAGAATTCCAATGACCGTCCACGTCGAGTTAGGGGTGGACATCCCAAACCATTTGTTGTAGATAGTCGTGTAGAGCGTGCGCATTTAACCGTTTAAAATTCCAACGCAAGTTATTGGTGGGTTATCTTAGCTTAGTTTTCCTGACAAAACTGAAGGCTATGACGGCATGACCGCTTTTTCCCAGGGGAGCCAGGATTGAGAGGTTGTCAACTAGAAATTCTTCGTTTGTGAACACACAGTCTAAGCGCGAGTTGCCGACCTCACGTTTTCGAACAGTCTCAAGTCATCGATGAGGTTGAAGAGCCGAGCTTCAATTGAGTTGTCGCCTCCAGTATACGTGTGTTCCGCGAAGTCGACTCTAGGGAGATTAAAGTCCCCTAGAATCAGGATGTGTGTGAAACCGAGACGAGTAGAGCGGGGTAGTCCTTACAGCATACGACTATCGTACTCGATGTCGGCAGTTGGCTTCCTGTAAATGACTCCGACTGGACACCTCGAAGTAGCAGACAATCTTACAGAGAACCATAAGGGTTCCTTAAGATTGTTGAACTCGAGGTTATGAACTTGGTGTACCTCCAAGCAAGATTGTATGTAGATGGCTACTCCACCGCCAATTCCTGACTTTATGTCGTTGCGAAACAAAGACATCCCAGGTACTGCTAACTCCTGGTCCGAAAACTGATAAGATATCCAAGTTTCAGTTATTCCTGTCAGATGAGCCCTATTAGTATTGCTGAGTTCACGTAGCTCATCCATTTCGTTTGATAGACACGCGAAGTTCATATATAAGCAGTTTATACTTTCAATTTGAAACACTTGAGCTCCTTCCTGTTTGTCTGTATGAGCCTCACGTAAATGGACAGGTAGTCTACTTATATAATGTTTTCCGAGTTGATAGGTCCTGTCTTTTACACGTTTTTTTATCATCGAGACAGTTCACAAGTGGAATGATAAGCTCCAACTTGCTTTTGTGCGTGGTCCTAGCTTCATATGGCTTATCCGGGTGCATATGGATTCCAGCTGGCAACCGACGTCTGTTGGCACGAAAGGCCTCCAGAGTTGAAGCCGCCATCTGGGAGGATGGGAAAGTTATCTTCATTAGCCGGGGTATGGAATCACCGTCCTTCTTAGCTAAATTTCAAAGTAGTAATTTACGAGTGACATGTAAAATGGTTTCCACTGATATCACAAAATAAAAATACGTATCGACTCTCCATTTGAAGAATTCAGCACAATCCAAAAACATGTGATTCACCAAGGTTAGTGATCTGTGTCAGCAACTGCAGTCAACACGAGTTGAAGTAACACTTCGCGATTAAAACCCTATCGTGATATCTACATACTTTGATGACCATATGATAGAACTGTATAGCAGGATAAACTGGAAAAACAGAATATGGTAACTGTCATACAAACCAGTTCATGAGAGATTTACGTTACTGGGCACTGACGAGATAAAATCTCAATGTCGTGAAGCTCGAAATATTTGTGCCTCGAATGTGATGAATAGAAGTATTTGAATTATTGCAAAAACTAAGGATCCCAGAAATAATGCAATTTAACCAAGAAGTATTATATGAGCACGAACGAATGTTTTGTAGTTGGAACAAGAAAATGAAAAATCTGATAAGTTGATTGGCCAGAAGCTTTTGTCTCACAATAATTCTGAGTTTCATTTAATTCTGGACTGCCATATGACTCTATACTGTTTTTCCAAGTCGTGAAT